TTAATTTTAAATCAAATCGATCTAACAAAAAATTAATTAGGACTGCCTCAGTCATCAATGTAACCTGTAGAAAATAATTTATTTAATCGATAAAACTATAAGCTAGGCATTATATATATGTCATTACAAATTTAATTTAAGCATATATATATATATATATATATATATATATATATATATATATATATATAAGCACATGCACACACACACACACATATATATGATAGGATAATATAAAGAAAAAAAAAATTAAAAAAAGAGAGAAACCGCAAACGTTTTTGGTTTAAAAAAAAATATATTATGTTTTATTTTCCATAATTTTGCTACACGCGTTTCCGGTCTCGCGACCTTCATCAGGCAAAGTGTGGATATTTCCACATATTATTAAAAGCAATTAATTTCTCTTATAATTTTCGATGTTAAATATTCTCGATATTAGAAGTTCTCTTTTTTATGTGTTAGTGACCCAAATGTCTTCAGTGAAAAAGTTCTGCGTGAAGGTTAATAAAACAATTAAGACTGGTCCGAGAAAAGATGAGAAAGATATTTAATGACCCCCTCTGTGTTCTTAGATCTATTTCTATTTTTTTGTATTTTTGTCAGCATGCGTGCGTATTACCCTTCCACAATCCACATTACAACAAACAAAAACGTTTGTGGTTTCTCTCTTCTTTTTAATATACACACTTTTCTCTCGTTTGAACTACTATAACCTCTTCCCTTTTATATATATATATATATATATATATATATATATATATATATATATATATATATATATATAAAATGGAAAGACAAAAATTCGTACGCATGCAAATTTTAATTTATCGTTTTTCCAACTAATTAATAGACATAATTAGCATATAATTAACTATATACATATGCATAATAATAATGAAATATGTATAGAAAACAGAAACAAATTTGATTTAATAGAAATAAATCCCATTTATCCATTATAATTGGTGAAAAATTATTCGTACAATGCAAATTTCAGATTTTAAAACTTTTAAATTGCTTTAATACTCGAGATTATTCAAGTGGAATATTAAAGAATGTTCCACTAATGTTATCAGCAGTTATTTTTAACCCGAAAACTACAAACAGAACATTCTGTAATTGATATTTGTGAAAGAAGGTTTTCATCATGGCAAGAGGTAAACAATTGACAAATTCGCAAAAAGAACTAATTGTTAATTTGTGGAAAGAGGGTAAAAATTGCCAGAAAATCTCAGACAACCTGAATATTCCATTTACTACCATTAGTTTATTCATTGCAAGGTATAAAAACCCAAAACTTGAAAACCAAGGAAGATATGCTGCATGTAAGATTTCTTTAAGATCTTTGAGGAAATTAACGCATCACATTAAATAAAATCCAATGGTTACTCGTCAAGAGTTGCAGGATGATTTGCTTTCATCAGAAATCTGTCTCACTAAACGGGCAATAAGCAATGGAATTCATAGGAACAATCTAAAGTCATGCTCCCCTCAAAAAACTCCACTGCTATTGAAAAGATACAGAGATGTCAGGTTGAAATTCATTCATGAACATAATGATAAGGAAAAATCGTATTGGGAAAGAGTATTATGGACAGACGAAACGAAAATTGAGTTTTTGGGGAGTAATTCTTGAAATAATGTATGGAGGAAAGATGGCGATGCCTTTAAACAAAAGAACACAGTTCCAACAGTGAAATTTGGTGGTGGCATCATCATGGTTTGGGGATATTTTTGTGCAAAAGGTACTGGCAACATATCAGTAATAGATCATAGAATGAATGCCGCAGCATATCAAAATATTTTGGAAGCAAATTTAATGTTTTTGGTTGAAAATCTTGAACTTCCTCCTGATTGGATCTTTCAACAAAATAATGATCCTAAGCACACTGCAAAATCTACAAAAAGAAATGGCTTACTGAAAATAATGTAAATATCCTGAAATGGCCAAGTCAGTCTCAGATTTAAACTCAAATGAGAATATGTGGCATTAATTGAAAATCCAAATCCAATCGAGAGCTCCAACAAACACCCAGGATCTGAAGACCATATGTGAAGAAAAATGGAACAAAATACAAAATAAATTTGAAAAATATTAATTGAGAACTACAAGAAGAGGTTGGTTGTTGTAGAAGTGAATAATTGCTGTTCTACAAAGTATTAAATGAAGATTTTGTAGTCTTTTTTGTATTGCAGGAATACTTTTTTCACTCATTAAAATAGATACAAGGGATTTGTTTCTATTAAATCAAATTTTTTTTTATGGATATTTAGTTACTATGTATCTATGTACAGTTAATTATATGAATGTGTACGAATATTTCTTTCTCCCCACTGATATATATATATATATATATATATATATATATATATATATATATGTGTGTGTGTGTGTGTGTGTGTGTGTGTGTGCGTGCGTGCGTGTGTGGTGAATTTACGCAGCATGAATTCTTTTTAAATATGTTTGTTGAATCATATCAAGAATTTCTGTCTGCCATTTTTTTTATTAACTTTTTCAAATTTCTGAATTAGTTGTTTATGTAATCTTTAGATGAACCAGATTTTATTTTTATTTTATTTTTTCTATTACTTACGATTTGCATTCGAAAACACCGGAAAAAGTTTAAATTTTGTTAAATTTAAAAATATATATATATATATATATATATATATATATATATATATATATATATATATATATAAAATAATTCACAGATTTGAAAATGTTAATAAAAACATTGGTTAAACAGAACCTCTCGATATTACAAAACCAAACATATTTGAAAGAATATATGCTACTGTTTCCTGGTCTGATTCAACCCTGACCATTAACCTTATATATATATATATATATATATATATATATATATATATATATATATATATATATATGTACTTTGTATTGAGTCCTCTTTGAAATTAAATGTTACGAACGTTGTAATTGTACTCTATCCGTTCTTATCTTACCTGGATATATATATATATATATAATATATAGTTTTAATGTACGCTAGAATTATAGGTAAAAGTGCTCAATATCAGTGATGGAACGTATGTAAATATAAAAATGGACAACGTTGCCCAGATCAAGCTGCGATAATCTATATCATTCTTAAACGCAATCTTCAGGCTATAATGCTTATTTTTGTATAAAGGAAAAATTTGACACAAGGCCCAGAGAAACTATACAATATTTCTTGTACCAAAACACCACGTTCTTACTACGACCACCATAATATCTCAAAGACTTCCTAACTACCCCCGTATGTACAATGTAGCTGTGCGAAGTGTGGAAATAAATATAACAATTTTAAAAAGAAATCACCGATGAATATTTATAGTAAAGTCTTCAGTCTATGTGTTGTGTTATGGCTCGATTATTGATATACGCTTGTCAATGGTGCATTATGGGTAGTATGATCTATTGTATTATCTTAACGGTTATTGGGTAGGCGGTGAAAGTTATGCTTCAAATTATAGGCTATAAGTAGGAAATGATTGTATACCTGAATCTTATTTGTAGATATTTCATAATACGAT